TTTGAATTTTTTTTTTAACTCTAAAAAAGCATGCTTGAATTATTTATATTCTGAAGTTCAATTGCTGATTTTAATTATCAAAATAGAAAATTCACCTTTTAAATATTCAGCACATATTTTTGGGTTAGTTTAAGAATTAAAGTGATGAGGTTTGAATTAAGCCAATTCTGACCAATCAGACTGGTCAGTATAAGCATTTCCTGATTGTTACAAAGTCAGACCAAATGCTTATAGCTTGAATCTTTGCTGTGAAATTTTCCCTCCAAATGTACTCTGAATTTAGACTGTTGAAAATATCTGCCAAATATTTAAAAGTTTTTTTGTTTTTTTTTAGACACTTTGAAAATGTATACGTACAATTTCATTAACTGAAATAAAGAATAAAAATAATTCAAAGATGTTTTAAGATGTCATTTACAATTTTGATTTTGACTGATTTTTATACATCAAAAGAAGTGCTGCTTTTTTTATATTTACAACCATTTGTTAAAAACTTATTGAACACTGCACATTAAAGCCAAGAACATAATCCAGTATGCCTTTTCAAAATTCAAACAGTTCATGAACTTGTACCTTGTTTGATAGTTTTTTGCCATCCAAACCCATGAGGACTTTCTGATAAAACTCCAAGGTGTAGCGTAGTTTCTTTGGATAGCTGAGATTCAGGCAGTACAGGAGTCCAAACAGAAAAGCACATCCAGTCGGCACATCTTGCAGGTCCTGGAGAACAGTGCACTGTTCAATGATACCAACATCCTCCACGTTGTCATCTGGCCTCGCTCTCTTTTCTCTGATTTTGTACACTCTAATATCCACCTGCTCCATGTCTCCGGTTTTCATCACAGTCACATCCTGAAAGTAACAGAGGAAAAGCTATTGAAATTAAAATGCACAAATACCATTTCATTCTCTTTCATCTACAGTCTTGCCACCACAGGTGGTCAGATCAACTGCTTATGGCTTAGATCCTTGCTGCAAAGTTTTTCAATGCAAATGTACACTCTGAATTTAGATTGTTGAAAATATATATGCTGATATTATATATATATATTATATATATATATATATATATATATATATATATTTTTTTTTTTAACACTTTGAAAATGTATATTTACAATTTCATCAAACTGAAAATAGAATAAAAATGATTCAAAATGTTTTTAAGAGTTAAAAAATTCAAAGTGAGAAATTCAATGGTATTTAAAATTCAAAATCTGATGAAAAAAAATCATCCTCCTACTTTTATTTACAACCAAAGCAAAATCGTTCTATAATGATCATGTTAATCAGATGTCAAAAAATAAATTTAAAAAATCCAGGTTGTCCCTGTTAATTTATTCAGAAAGGAATTCACTACTGAATGAAAAAATGGTTTTAAGCAACTATCATAAAATTCTGTCATTACTAAGAAAGAATATATATTTTATACTGATACTAAAACAAAACTATTGTTATATACAATTTGAATTGTTTCAAGGTTTAATAGAATCCAGTGGTTTTCCATTTTTAATACCACCTAAGGAAAAAAAAAAGTTTTGGTCAAATTGCTGGAGGATACTGCCTTAGCTCCTCCTGTCAGATAAAACTTAAATAGAATGCAACCAGAAGGACCTCTTGTGCACCAGTGGTACATGTCAAAAAACTTGAANCACATCCAGTCGGCACATCTTGCAGGTCCTGGAGAACAGTGCACTGTTCAATGATACCAACGTCCTCCACGTTGTCATCTGGCCTCGCTCTCTTTTCTCTGATTTTGTACACTCTAATATCCACCTGCTCCATGTCTCCGGTTTCCATCACAGTCACATCCTGAAAGTAACAGAGGAAAAGCTATTGAAATGAAAATGCACAAATACCATTTCATTCTATTTCATCTACAGTCTTGCCACCACAGGTGGTCAGATCAACTGCTTATGGCTTAGATCCTTGCTGCAAAGTTTTTGAATGCAAATGTACACTCTGAATTTAGATTGTTGAAAATATATATGCTGAATATTTATATATATATATATATATATATATATATATATATATTTTTTTTTTTTTTTGTAACACTTTTAAAATGTATATTTACAATTTCATCAACTGAAATAGAAAAAAAATGATTCAAAAATGTTTTTAAGAGTTAAAAAAAATTCAAAGTGAGAAATTGGTATTTAAAATTCAAAATCTGATGAAAAAAAAAATCATCCTCCCTACTTTTATTTACAACCAAAGCAAAATCGTTCTATAGTGATCATGTTAATCAGTTGTCAAAAAAATAAATTTTAAAAATCCAGGTTGTCCCTGTTAATTTATTCAGAAAGGAATTCACTATTGAATGAAAAAATGGTTTTAAGCAACTATCATAAAATTCTGTCATTACTAAGAAAGAATATATATTTTATACTGATACTAAAACAAAACTATTGTTATATACAATTTGAATTGTTTCAAGGTTTAATAGAATCCAGTGGTTTTCCATCTTTTAATACCACCTAAGGAAAAAAAAAAGTTTTGGTCAAATTGCTGGAGGATACTGCCTTAGCTCCTCCTGTCAGATAAAACTTAAATAGAATGCAACCAGAAGGACCTCTTGTAGCACCAGTGGTACATGTCAAAAAACTTGAAAATGAGTCAAAAGCATCCAATTTAGTTAAATTTAGATAAAGATTAAACTAGAATTTCCAATCTGGGCTCAATGCATTTTTCCAAATGATTAAAAACATAATAGTATAAACAGTAAATTCAACTTACCAAATACTCCTTAATTAGACTTTTGGGATCCTCATATAGGTAGAGTGTCAGTGCTTTCAAGACACACTCTCGCATGACATCAATGCAGGAAGTCTGGTGGGGAAAAAACAAATAGGTATGTGTTTTAGTTCACTCATTTTGGTGCGGCATCATCTGCACCTTGACTCCTTGGTACCAATATGGCAAATGAAAATGTTGTATTGTGACAACATTATGACCAACCTAAAATAATCCAGACAAGCTGTTCAGACAAGGTCTAGTCTGGGTTTCTGGACTGGTCACAGTAAATAAAAAAAACAAAAAAGAGTTAATTACCTGGCCCATCTCAGACAGAGCAGTTTTAATGCTCTGTCCCATTTTTCCACCTTTTCTTTTGAAAGCCTTCAGTAACTGGCAGGAGTGCTGGTCTATTAAAAAAAAAACAATAATAATAATTACATACATGAAACATTGTATGTAAAAGATTAAATATATACACATCTCACCTTGCTAACGTTAGCAGGAGCAACCTCAGGGTTTGTCTGTTATTAATGTTCATATCTTTCTTTACGGACAGAAAAGCAAAATAAAAACATCAGAATCATAGCAGTTAGAATGGGGCAGGAGTTTTTCAAGAGGAAGTAAATTGGAGTCGATGGACAATTACAGAACTATAGCATTGTAGATGCAAGGATATGCTGTTGAAACTGATTTGTACAATGTCATGTTCAGTGTTTGGTACCTCAAACTTTATTCTGAGCAGATCCGACACCCTCACATTCAAATCTGAAAGAGAAACAACCATAATTAGCAAATTGTGTTCATTGACAATGACAGTAAGACGTATTCAGATTAAAACACCAAGCTTAGTACAACTTCAAGTGTTAAAAATGACAAAATATCAAGTTTAAATAAAGCCCATTAATTACATTTTCAGTGTCAGTGACAGTAGGTCTATCTGATTTAATTTGTATGCATATTCATATACATACTAGTAATGCCTGCCTACCCTCATAACTGAGCAAAATCACAAAAACAAACAGCAACATAAACAGCAAAAGATTCAACAATGCCCAAGTGTCCAAATAAACAAATGTAGCACAAACAAATATCTATACATTACAAACGCATACGTTACTCTGCCTTGGTATAAATAATTGTTCACAAAATATGCGGGTACTAAAACAAAAGATTGTCAACATCCTTAATTTTTATTTCACCGTGATAGTTTAGACCATCATGAATATATTCATCTTTAACATTTGCACGACAATATGAAGCCTAATTGGATGTACGCATTGACGCATTCGCGTAAACACGTGCGGCATTGATGCCATTAACAATATCACACGTGTTACTCCAAACGGACAGAAAAGGCCTGTTTACTTTTCTCTAACTTCAATAAATGTATTGACAAGAAGCGCGAACCGACGCTGTAACTTTGAGCTGAGCCACAGGACCGGAGCAAAGAAACAAACAAGTGAACTGCACCGGAGAGGGCGGCGCGTGCGCGCGCCCCTACCTGCGCCGCGCACGCGCCCACTCCGTCTCCGCTTTGGTTCTGAATGATTATTCATCAGTCTCCAAATGGATATGTCGTCAGCCTTTCGAATTGAATTCACTCATATTTGACGTGTTTTTTAAGTCTTGCCTGAGAGCAACGCGACATAAACGAAGCGGAGCAAAGCCTGAACAGAGGCGGGGCCGCGCGGTACTTTAAGCGCGCGCCCGCTGTATATTAGCAGCAATTACGCTAAATACGTGAATGACGGAACAATTATTGGTTCACGTTAAGTTTGGTCATTTATTTGCTGCCGAAAACTACTATGGTTTGAAAAGGGATTCATTTTAACAGTTAAATCACTGAAAGTATTTGACACATGCAAAACGAGATGCTAGCTAACACGTATTCAGACAAGCTGAAAACATTTCTGTCTTACAAAAACACAACAAATACAGCCGATATCTTGTACAAAAACTTAGATTCAATAACATATCCTAAAAAAATGTACTTACTTACCAATATTTTTGAGGGATTAATTACGATTTTAATCGCTGCCAACAGAACGCTGCTCGAATCCACTGCACCGGATGTTGAACGACGTCGCTGAACGTGACGTTGACGTACAGGAAATGCGCATGTGCAAAGATTGTGCGTCGTATGCGTCAACTTTATGAATGAAACCAACACAACACTTTTAGTTACCAACACAACACTATTAATTACATATACATAATAGTGTTACTTTACTTTAGAAAGTTACTCTGTTACTTACATACAACTAAACATACTTGATTAAACTTGAGAAAGAATATTTTTAAATAAATCCAAAACAAATATGTGATGTAGTTTGAACAATTTCAGTGTTTCATTTCTTAGGTCCCACAAGCATAAGGCCATGTCTCACCACTGTAGTTTCATAAAGCTGAATACATTTATGAATAAACCCTACAAAAAAATCAGTGGTTTATTAACAGTGTTCTGTAAACATCTGAATTATGATTCCCTTTGTTAAAACACAGACCATCAACATCTTTCAAGTTCCTCTCAACACAAACACTGCGCATGGATTGCTCCAGTGTTCCATAACTGATTGGCTCCTGTTTTGTCTTGGGGAACAGATCAGACACAATCCCACTGAACAGTTTCAAGTCATCTTGAAGAAACTTTGGCACATTGACGTCATTAATGGCTCGCAGACAAATTAACTCCTTCAGGAAAAATAAAAATAAAAATACAATGGTGGACTAAGGAATTGAAACAGAAGCCAAATGACCTACTTCATTCATCTCAGGATGTTCTCTCTTGAGGTTTCCAGCTGCCGAAATCACAGATTTTACAGCTCTCATACCGAAGTCATAATGATCCTACAAAGACCCAACACAACGTTATTAAAATTAATATTGCAATAAAAATGATGATTTGATCAATGACTTATCAATAGTATTAAACTGCTAATTAAATAATAAAGTTCATACCTGTGAGCTAAGCTGTTCAGAGGATAGCTTAAAAGTAGATGTTATTTTCTTTGAAAGGATTTTGGCATCACTAAAGCCAAATGAGTATAAAGAAATTTCAGCAATCATAGCATAGTTGGGCACCATCATAGCCACAGGACGAAACAGAGCCTAGGAATATATGGTGTATGTTATAATAACACATATTATACATGTTAGAGTGGTATAAGAAACTCAGTATACTGTACCTTAAGATTGTCAGGCAGTTCTGTGCGGCCAGCATATCCAGGATTCATTGTAATAAACACAGCGCAGGAGGGAACAAGTGTGATTTCAGTCCCCTCAAATTCAAAGCTTTTAACCTGAAATCAGTTATTACTTCATTACCTATATCTATTTATTTAGACATAGCTATTACAAGGCCTATATTGATTAGAAAACAGTCTTACTCTTTGCTGTTGAGCCTTTTGTATAGTGGTAATTTGTTGTGCCACTACAGAAAGCACTTCCACATCTATACGATTAAATTCATCAAAGCATGCCCAAGCGCCAGAGCTACAAGTCAGGAAATAAAAACAATAAACAGTATTAATTTAGCTACTTAAGTGTACTGTGCTTAGTAATATTTTTAGTATTAGGCTGTGTTTAACCTGGCTAGTCCTTTAAAGAATTTCCCCATGGCCTTGAAGTCGAGCTGATCTGAACAGTTGAACACCACAGTCTGGATTGCTAGGGCCTTTCCAAGATCTTTGGTGGTCTCGGTCTTTCCTGTACCAGCTGGGCCCGCAGGAGCCCCTCCAAATTTCAAATGAAGAGCCCCTGTTAGCGTTAGGTAACATCTAGGACAAAATTATAGAACAAAGTAAGGATTTGTTTTGTTGGAAAAAGTGTAAAATCTGACCCTCACCTGTCTGTCAGTGGGGTGATAACCAGCCGACCAGAGTTACCAAGATATTCATATCCATACAAAAACTCTGCATTTACCACACGGACATACAAGTCATCTCTTGCCCAGTAGTATCTATATATAATACAATAGTAAACATGATACAATATACAATAATAATCAATCAATAATAAAACATTTTTTGTAATTTCTCTTACAACAAATTCAAAGAAATAAAAGCTCTCACAGATTTTCTTTGCCCACCTGAGCTGGCTGATCCATTCAAAGTCATTAATATTTGAAAGCTTTTGCTGGACCAGTTCAGCAGCAACATCTTTTGCATGGACTTCTATGACAATGAGGGCAGACAGAACAGCCCTTTGCATTCTGGACAAATTTCCTCTGACCAGTTTGACTAAGTTACCCAACTATAAAGAGAGACTGTCAATGAAGTAATGAAGTGTCATCAGAATATTGCATATGCTACTATTACACACCTGTGTTTGCAGTTGAGGATAAAGATGATTAGCCAAGTCTCCTTTCTCTATAGCTTCCGATACCTCGGCAGTCCAGAATACTTGGCATCCAGCAATCACCACCTGACCAGGCCATGACAAAACCCACTTCTCCCGAGGTTGCTAAAATTACAAAAAGTGTTTTTATACAAACCATGTCAACAACAGTCGTATTACTTTTCTACAAATAGTGTGACAAACCTCATAGTAGACTTTTAATGATCGGTCAATATTATCTTTTACTGTAGCTTTCATTGACTTCTCTACATTTCTGAGCCAGTCTTCCACATCACCAGTAGGCTGTACAGACTGGAAAAGCTTCACTTCCTCTCCTTCTCCAGAGTACATGTCAGTGATTTGTAAGTCAGGCTGAAATTTTAGCTGGAAAAATACAAAAATTGATGGGATATTTTTCTCAAGCTTTATAGTAAAATTGTTATCAAAAAGTTCAATCATCGAACCCGTGCAATGTTCTCAAAGCATTTGCGTAAATGTGGCTGAACAGCTGTGGGATCTTTGGTCTGGGACAAAATTTCAAGCAACTCATCGTCTGATAGGAAGTAAAACCTGAAAAAAAAATTACTTTAGTAATACATAATAAAATATTATGTGGAACAATTGGGCACACAGTTCACTTTGACACAGTATAAAATAAAGGTTACAAGAAAAAGGCAGATACCTTGGAAAAGAACGTCTCTTTGTCTCCAAGTACTCACTGAGACCTTTCTGTACTTGTTCTAAGAGTGAGTTGGACGTCTTCAGAGTAGACAATAAACGGGCATCTGGACACAACTCAGTTATCTACAAAACATACCAGTAATCTGAGTGTACATTGTGTGTATTGTCTAGGAGTCAAAATTGACGCTGTAGTTCATTCTGAATTTGTAAAACAGATATGAGTTATAACCTTGCGATTATTGTTAGCTTTTCTCATCACTGTTGTCCACATTTTTTCCATTTGTTGGTATTGCCCTGCTTCATTGGGCAGTTGTTGGTTAATATCTGGGGAGCTGAAAATGGGCTCAAGGTAAAGCAAAGAACGCTGGCATGTCAGCCATTCCTCTAGCACATCCTACAAAGACCAGAAGAGGGTAGCACCGCACAATTAGAAACAGAGGTGGCAATGCAGTTAGATTTGATGTACAATGTGATCTATAGTTGTACTTGAGTCATTTTCAGTTTACTCTCCCAGTTGGCTATGCGACTTTCAAAGTATTTTTTAAATGGTGAGAGTGACATGCTCTGGGTCATGACAATGTGGTCATCTAGCAATTGGGAAGCTTCCTCTGGACTTTTGAGAATGTAGGTTCCAGTGTTCTTGTATGGCAGCACATCAACGACTAAAGCTGACCATTCAGCTTTCATTTTATTAAGTGCCTAAAAAGAATGAGAGCAAGAATGAATTGTTGTGTTTGAAAAAAGTTATTAAATAACAGTTAGAATGAAATCCTTTAACCCTTCCAGTGTTTTACATAACCGCGCATAACTTTTTATCATAAAAGATAGAGACTTTTGTTTAGTGCTGAGTCAGAGGATGTTCCTCAGGCTCCTCCAGATTCCCCTGTGCCATTCACTTCAGGTGTCTCCCCAGCTTCATCAGTGTCTACAACCCCAACCACCCGTCCAGAACCATCAACACCTTCAACACCTATGATCTCCTCTGAGAGCAGAAGGAGGGGCAGGGATGGAGGGCATGGAAGATCCAGATCTCCACTCCTCAGTACTTCATCTCGATCACTACACTTACTAACCACCACACCAGGAAGACCGCAGCAGGCAAGGATCATATGGGAGGCTGTCATGTGTGCACTGCTGACAAACACGGGGGAAGAGGCAGTGTACTGCATGGAAATGCAAGGCCTGTGATGTGGCACTATGCCTGGTGCCTGATAGGAACTGCTTCCATGATTGGCACTAGGGAAGGACTTGGACGAGTGCACTTTTTTTGGTTTTGAGGGCAAAAATGACATTTTTAGAATACCTACAAACTTGATATTTTGCACTTTTGTAGCTAAGACCCTAAACTAAGTATTTATTATGTCTAAAAAGTTGTTTATACATGTTTGCTGTGTGTTTTGAATAAAGGAGTGTGAATATCATTTTCCTTTTTTTTCCCCTTTGTATTTCTAGTTCTATAGCTTTTATTACAGCCATATGACACAACTACAGCATTCAGATTGTGAAAGAACAGGTTGTACCGAAAAAAGGATGTATAGCACTTCATTAGGGGATAAAAGGGGGAGTCTGGAAGGGTTAAATGTGGGATTATCAAAACAATGTATTAGTGCAGGCATCCAGCTGGGAGCCAAGTGACAGTTCTGGAAGAAGACCCAATGTCCTTTCATCATGGCAGCGTGCATCATGATCTCAGCCCGGGGGCCCTGGAAACAGCACACCACAGCCCACATAAGCACCATATGCATACACCAGAAAACAAATGAGCTACATTATAGTCTGAAGTGTTAGAAGAAACAGTTCACATTACATAAACGAACATAACACACCGCTGATGAGAAAGAGTCTGTGAACGCCATCGGTCAATTGTTCACAGGATGATAAATAATAATATTGTAATGCCTCATGTGTGACCATGTAAAAGTAATGTAATATGCCTTAAAAGTAGTATGCTGGTAGTGAAATACCTATAAGGTGCCTTAGTCTTGTAAAAATGAGCACAGCATAAATCAAAAATGTGCAAGTTATGATTTTTTTAGCACATAAGAAGAGTTAAAATGAACCTATTAAAGATAAAGGGTAAATCATGAGACCTGGCCTTGGCCTAGAGAGATAGCGCTCATCTTCTTGGAGAACTGCATGACATCAGCAAACTTGTACAGGTCTGCTGCAGGGTCAGTACCAGGTGACAGGACAAAGATGAGAGGAGTCGTGTGGGAAGAATCTTTGAAGACCTCAGATAAATCAGATGTCTAAAGAACAAAACATATTTTAGAACCAGAGATGTTTTATCATTTATACTATAATTATAACTTTTAGTTAGTTTTGGTACCTGAGGTTCTATGAATTGCTGACCCAGTTTAGCTGCCACAAAGTCTTGAAAACCCTGAATAAGACAATCGGCCCTCAAACAGCGCAACACTAAAAGCTTCTGAAATGAGTCCAAATTTGTGTCCCAATCGCCAGGTAATGGCTCCCTGATGGTATAAAAAAATATTAATCAAGTAATTAAATTTCATACACATGCTTTGTATAACATTATGAAGTTAGTAACCTGTGTGGTTGGTTGCTGTCAAAAATCATCTTGAATCCTTGTAGGTGTTGTGAGAAACTCTCTGCCAGATTTATGAAGTTCGGTAGAGTACTGAGGCCCAGGATGTCCTGCCAGGTCCGCTCTGATAACCAGCTCACTGCAGGATTTTGAAGCTCTTTTGTTGGCATTGCTCCAGATAACAGAAGCCGCCATTCAATCTGCCATATTAGCACCATAAAAGAGTAAAAAAAAAGTTCTGAAAATATAGTTTATATGACTATATATAGGTAGAAGAGGCACTTGCCATATTAATTTTTTTCCTATTCATCAGTATGCGTGCACACAGAAGGAAGGCAAACATAAGTTTGTGCTTCTCAAACAAGCTGCGACACACATTGGTGTACAGGCTGAATGTGAAATATTCATTTATGTTGGCAATTCTTTGCTCTAAAATATCTGAAGAAAAAATAAAACAAGTCATGGAAACACATTTTTCTTGTTAATTTGTGCAAAGCAGATTTAAGTATAATTTCTACCTGCTTTCTTAGAGTTTGCAATGGCTGACACAAAGATGCCAAGGAACCACTCCAAAGAATACTGATACATTGGATCCACGCTGGAGAGGTCAGAAACACAGAAGAAGAGAAGCTGGGTCCGTACTGCCACAGGAACATACTCCAGACGTGTTGCATCAATTTCACGTTCAGTTTTTTCAGCAGATGTCACTTTGTCCTTTCATGAACAAAAAAAAAATGATTAGAACAATTTATGTGTCTATTATGTATTAATAGATATTTAGTTATTTTATCTGACCTTAATTTCCCCCGCTTTGACTTTGGAAGCTGCTAAAACTTGAATTAGTTCCTCATTGTCCACAGGGTTTCCTTCTGTAGAACTGAGTCGCAGAAGAATCTCATCCTCAATCTCTTTTAGTTCCTGTTTCATTTGGGCATTACTAATAATGAGCTGATTTTTTGTTTCTTCTAAGTCTGCACACTCTTTAGCCACAACTTGAGCAAGCAGCTGGTCCTGAAGTCCACTGGTTGGAGCATAAAATGCATATAGTACTTTAAATATATGGTAAGTGTTTTCTTAATCTTAGAGAGATCAGTAAAATGTAAAGATACCTTGGAGATAAGGTGAAATTTATCAGTGTAACTTTGGTGGAGACTTCTGGTGAGTAGTGTGGATTTGGGAGCTTGGTGGTAATATACATTCTGAAGTTTTCATGATATGGGATTACTGAATCACCAATCTTGAGCATTGTGCTGCCTGACTGCTTAAAGGTCTGCAGAAAAATACAGAAGGTCAAGGCAAAACTTAAGCATATTAATATCACAGCAGGATACAAAAACTCATAAACAGTACTATATGGACAATTTTCTTGTTAGTAAATGGTGATTGTGGTTCTATACCTGCTTTAACAAAAACAGGTTCCAATGCAGGATCAAGTTCCTCCCCCACGTTCTCCAAGAGGGCAGGTTTGCCGAAACGTATGGCATTCTCTAGGCTGCGCAGAAAGTCTTGGTCAGTAAGCTTCACAACCTCAAGTCCATTTTCTTGCTCCTGTATGACAAAGAAAAACAGGGCATGCAAAGGATCAAATATACACAAACTGTAATATAGTCAGAAGCAATGTAATGCAAGTCCCCACTCTGTAACAACTGGCATATTTATTAAATAATCTGTTATTGTACATTTTACATGCACACTCACCATGTTTTTAATCCATTTATTGGCTTGTCCTTGAGGATCAATGAAAAGAGCCCAGCGCAAAGAATACTGGGAAATCACACCATTCTCTGCTGAAAGGTTATCCTTTGGCAATCCTGCAATCTGAATTTAGCATAAAAATAATATGGGAAATTATTGCTGATTTAAATAATGTTAACTAAGACAGAGCCACCACTCTAAGTTTCAATCAACCCAGCTGTCGTCCGCCTTAATTTTAATTCATACAATAGTCATTGCATTTTATTGTTGTGGCACTGTCTTTGTTAGTGAAATCTATCTTATGCTTGTACTGACCTGCCATGAGCGAATATTCACTGGATCTCCAAGTGTGTTGATCAAGTTGGGTTCTCTAGTGTGGGGAACATTTAACTCCTTGAAACAATGAAGCCACTCCTCAGCCATAGCAGCCCTATACTCCCCCTACTCAACATCACCACATTTTTGTTATAAGAATGATGACAATGCCAAATGCAAACGCAAATCAGCACTTACAGTAAATGGTCCCAAGTATGCTACATAACCAGCAGACAGAAGAACATCTCCTGTCACATTATTGATCATGTCATCCAAATTTTGTACAGTTTCCTTCCAGCGTACCTTCTCATCAGCAAGTCCTCCTGTGAGCTAAAAAACAAACAAAAAATACATTCATAAAGACATCTAAGACATGTAATCACTGTCCCATATTTTATTATTGGTATTGCTAAACAAGCCAATAAAATGGAAAATAGCATACACATACAGCTGGCACATACCATGGTACAGAGTCTGTATAGACAGCACTAAGATCTAAATGTTGAATGAACTTATTAATATTTCTAAAAATGTACTAACACCTAACACTTGTTTGTTTTAGTTTATTTATTGGGACATGGATAGTGCACAATATATATTAACCTTAACAGGAGAGATTGTACCATTGTACCAGGTTGTAGCATCAGTGCTAATTTCCACCTGTAGTCCCTGGGTAGGTTAATTGCTATCAGCTATCGACTATTCTTCTTGGAGACCTATGTTTAATGTTTAATGACTTTTGTAGCATGTTTAATGATAAAATGTTTACTACTTTTAATTACCTTATCTGCACGAACTCTCCGTTTTTCACATAGGTCATACTGATTCTCCAGTTCATTTTTCCTTGCTATACAGGCCTCATACTTTGCCTGTAAAGCGGCAATTCCACCCTCAACGGCTGCCAGCTTTGCTTTGGAATCATCTAGCATTTGTTGGGTCATAGCTAAGTCTTCCCTGGCCTCCTGAAGCGCTTGCTATATAAAATAACACAGAATGGCCAAATCACATTATTTCAGAAGACAGACAATTGTATTTCAGAAAAAATCTGATCTTAAACACTGTTGTTTTTACCCTTTTAGGCTCAACCGCCTTTGCTGCGAAATTATATGTATACATTGCCCTTGTCCACTGGCAAATGGATGTACAGGCTTTGGACACTTTGGCAATAGCAGCTGGTTGAAATTCCTCATTGTCCATGTAGGGCTGGATCAGCTGGATCACAGTATCTGGAATGTTGTCCTGTGAAAAGGCAAAAACATGTACACACAGCCCTGAAGCTACTAGAACAGTGGCATAAAGAATAAATAAACAAATTAATATACGTTTACTTATAATATCATTTCTACCTTATCATAGTTGAACAGGCCCTCCAAAAATTTACCAGGGTCTTTCAGCAGACCCTTTCCTGGTTCCCAGTAGTCATCCACCTTCGTACCTGGCTTCTCTCCAGGTACCTTCTTAGGTTTAATACCCTTCATAATACACACTGCCTCTATGACCAACTTTACACCAGGAGGTGGTCGCTGTAAAGCTCGCACCTATCAAACACAACCACAAGTATTAAAAGATAATGACACCACAACAAATCTAACACACAAGAAATCTATATATATAAAGAATCTCACCTCAGTAACATCATTTTTGTTGAGTGACTTTAGGCTTGTGAGTGCATCCTCCAGTGCAGGTAAAGCCTCATCCAAGTCTCTCTGTGCATCAGTTGCAATGGCCTCTGCTATTTGTGCTTTTTTCTTGGCTTTAGATTCATCTTCTTGCACTGATTTACGTGTTTCCTCAGCAATGATTGTATCTTTCTAAAAAGAAAAGGACAAACGTGTTTTTTTTTATATATATATACATATATATAAATAACTAAATGTTGCTTTTTATTTTTATTTTTCTTACTTTTATTGTCTCCATAGTGACCTCAGTATCCTGAGCAGCCTCCTCCAAACTTGGCCTCATTTTTACCAACTCTTCCTGCATCTTTTTCACATCGTCTGCAGTGCTGAGAAGCTATAATGGAGATTTTGAGTTAACATAAATACCACATAATCAAATAGTAAAAGGATTATAATTAAGGTGCTAACAGCTTACTTTGTCCAGACCAGTTTTCATGCGCAGTCGTGCACTACTTAATTGATTTTTTTTATGTGAAGTGAGGTTTGAGAAAATATTGAGCAATTCCAAATAGCTTTTTGGTGTTACATAATTGTATCGTGAAAGCTCAGCCTTGAATTGTTCACACTTCTTGGCTACCATTTGGTGGATCTTCACACACATAAGAGTCTATATATAAAGGTACAGGAGAAGTCAATACAAGCTTCTTTGTATATGATACTATGATGTAAATTGTAACTTCAAGCCATTTTACCAATTCTCTAAGAGCTTCATCACTGGCTTCAAGGTCGGACATCTCATTCAGAAAAGTAGAAGCCACAGCTTGAAGAGCATCCTCCGGCCAGGCACTGAACCAATCAATAGTGCAGCAGGTAACCAGTGAAGGGAACTGCCTCAGACGTGCACGAAATACCTCCCCTATAGGACTATAAAAGTACGAAAAATACACTAGATGACATACATAGTGTTGAAACTAAGATGGAATCAAAAGACACTGAGGCAGTGTGCACATAACTAAAAATAATAGTTATTGCTTACCTCATGCACAGAACTGTATGAATATTGCTCCGGACCTTCTTGAGGTATGCAGCCATAAGATTAGCCTTAGTTGGCTGCTGACCCAGCTCTAAAACTGCTGGCTTCATTGTAGTAAGTATCAGTTCCTCCTCATCATTAGCATACAGATTGGGAACATCCCCAGAGTTTAAGATGTTATTGATATCTTCCAGGAAAGACTCACTTTTTATCTGAATAGTTAAAAAAGGTTTTCAGTATTTTAAGTTTTTTTTTATTATTATTAAAAATGATTATGACACTTACCTGTGTATCTACAAAGAGGAAAGTGATTGACTGGTTTTGAAGGCCAGCCTTCAGCATAATACCTTTCAGGTCTTCTCTCCATTCTGATAGACCATAGTTTTTGGACAGTTCAATCTGAAAACACTCATAGTTAGACCTGATAATGAAGAAAACAACATCAGTCAAATAGGGATACATAGTGTAAAGCTTTAACAACTTAGGTTATACAAAATGAGGCAATGATTTACATATAGGAGGCCAGTTTGGTCAAAGACTGGCGGCCGCTGCCACCTACACCCAGCAAAAGAGCATTGCCTAAAGGCTGGCGCAGGATACGGCTGATACGACACACATGTTCTATAGCATCCATGAAAAGCACTAGTTTCATTTTTTGTTTTGCTGCTTTGATTATAGTCTTCCATGTACTCTACGATGACCTCTACTAACTGAAAAATATATTTTTTAAAAACAGAAGACATTTTTTTATGAATAATATGTTAATAAATGCTAATATTTGTATAAACTGGTCTTCCTCTCTTCTAAAATACCAACCTCATCCTTGTTGTCAATTAAGGCATACATTTTATTGTCAGGTCCAGAACCCATGAAGTCTCCAAATAAAACTGGCTGACATGTTAAAACTTCTTCAACCTTGCACCCAAATTCTTGGATACAGTCTTTCAGGAGTGCGTTAAACCATTCTCTGTCCTCAACACAGACAAGGCGGTCCTGAAAAACCCGACAGCTTTCATGGTACCACAACTGGAGCAACTGTGATTTCTCCTACAATTAAAAAAACAAAAATTACAAAATAAACAGTTATTGCATATTACACATGCATATTTTTGTCACTACCTCAATTGTATCAGCATTAGCCATGAGCATGCCCTGGAAAACCTTGGACAGGTCTCTGAGGTTGAAAGTATAATGAGATTTGGCTGGAGTTGGAAGAAGCTGAGAAGTTATCGTAGAGTAGACTCGAATAGTGGCATCAACAAGAGTCTCATTCAGTGACTGGATAGCTGGCACTGAGGAAAAGAGGTGGCAAACATTTATACCCCACACTTGCAATATGGTGACCTAATCCCACAAACTCACACAATATATAAACTTGAATTTCCCCTGGCATCAATAAAATATCTCTCTCTATATATATGTTTTTTTATATCGAACAATCTCAGTTTTCACATGTGTCATTAAGGAGAAATAAAATGGATTAACATAAATTATATAGATTTTTAATCACTGCCATTTACATTTCACATTTTACACATTTCTTCCTACACAGTCTGAACCCTGCTCCAAACTGCATGATTTGAGTGGTGGCAATGCCACTGAATTTATTTGCATGGAATACAAAGAGTTGATCAGGCAAGCCAGTCTTATATAATTTCTGTTATATGGTTAATATTTGTAAAAGATTTAAATATTAATTTTGTTAAAGTGTAAAAGGTCTTACCCATCCAGGTGCCTAGAATGGAGGTAAAAATGTGCTTCTTGCTGGTATCATCCATTTCAGTAAAAGACAAGAAGTTGAAGTGCCGAGAGAATCGTGGTGTGATGGGATTTCGTCCTCCACCAGGAGGCCCCATGGCACAGGCAAAATTTATATCTACCAAGTGTCTAAAGGTGCCTGTAAATGCAGGGCTTGACATTAAGCATTTACAAGTACTTGACCGGGCAAGTGGCTATAATTTTTTACTTGTCCGACACCCAGACTTACTTGCCCGGAAAAACAAAATGGTGCTCAGTTAATTATATAATTTTAAACATGTGCACAGGCTAGTGTCGTAGTACTCTAGACCTTTTTTTAGGGCCTGGCTCAGCACAACATGCTCCTGGGGCAGATCTGTGTCGATTGATTGATTGATAGCATTTATATAGCGTCTTTCAAGATACCCAAAGCGCTTTAAAGTTCATTATTCATTCACTTCACACTCAGTGGTTTCCTCAGAGGTCTTGGTCTTGTCCTGGTCTCAGGACCCTGAGGTCTCGGACAGGTCTTGGCCTCAATTAATGCAGTCTTGACTAGAACTCTAGCACAGGCATATAAAAACTTTTTTTTCATATGAATACCAACATAACATGACCACAATGACTAAATGGTTTGAGAGAGTGGGGCAGAATCTCAAATATATAAAACAAGTTTAAATCATTTCACACTACACTCCACAGTGTAAATATGGAGGGAAAAAAAGAAGCATACATGAAAAAGTGTGTCCAAATTTGTATGTATATGAGATGAAAACGATTATCATTGGTCTTCTCATTAAATTGTTCTCTCTTGTATCCACTCAGAGATCTAAGAGTGCCTCAACGTGTCTCAGGTTGCCAGACCCATATGGGCAGGTGACAACTAGAACTAATATGATTATAGATAAATATGACAGAACATCTATAGTCCTGGTTGCTGTCATCTGGGACCAATGCTGGGACCAATGAGCAAGTTAATCTGAAACTGTGATACATATTGCCTTTTGCAGTGTAACATTTTGTAATGCAGTATTGTCCCTCATATGTAATGGAGTTACACTACTTTGCATTACATCTGATTTACTTTCTGTATGTTTAAAGTTAATTTTGGCTTCATGAGCTTCACAAATATATAGCCTTATAAGTCCTTCCCTCGGACCCTCGCCCACAGGTTAAGAAACCGACTTTCACTTGCACATTTCACATTCCAAATATTTTAGTGCCAGTACACCATAGAACTGGACTTGCACGAGCCTATAGTCTGCGCAGATAGTGTTGGGTATCGAAACTCTGTTTCAAGTAGGCATCGACCGAAAAGGCCCGGTAAGTACTGGTAAGTACTAAAAAACTGGTATTAAAAAAAAACAAAAGTTCGCTCGGTGCCCACTTTCGGTCCCTTTCATTAAATGCCCGCGTCAATAAGCCAACACACACTTTAATTTCACTTCAATTTATCAGTAGTGCAGGTGTTCACGCGTCAGTACTGCACAAACAGCGCTCATGTTTAACATGTTGAGCATGTCCTACATGTGTCCAAACTAAGTGCAGTGTGTCTTTTACCGGTAAAACAGAAGAGCTGAAGAAACAAGGTGCAGCGTGAAACTTGTATCCACCCGAAAACACCCAGTCTCCAGTGCGGGGCGTTTATAGAGTCTCAAAGCCAAAGTGCGTAATAATAAATCCACAGCCTGCAGTGTCCGCGTCAAATTTAAGCCAAACATAATATGAACCAAAACTCCGCAAAAACCCTGCTCCTCATTGGTAAATATATCCAGCGTGGAGCGCGTGTGCGTAAAGATGTATCCAAACGAATCTGCCTAAAGTTCTCCATAATTCTCCTCCGTCCTCCTCCGAGTAGAAAAAGCGTAAAGTTATTAATCAAAGTAAGAGCACATGCTCTATGCGCTGCCTTTTATAACTTAAGCGCAGGTCAGTCTTCGTGACAATCAGTTGTGCGTTTATTTACAATCAGTTGGCCATTAATTTGCATAAAAACATAAATTGTAACTGTACCCTTTGCGCACTTATAAAGAAAACTACTACATATCTCGGTCCTCTACTGTGGAGTTAGTTTGGACTGCTTAAATTTAGGTCCTTGTTCGCGCTTCTCGTCGCTGCGTAATAGGTTAAGAAAACACGGGATTTACGCGCGTGGCACTGGAGGCGCACAGGTAGGACTGTTCTCTATGAATGGATCTCAGTACGATGTGGGAGTGTGCACGTACAGGGCTCCATGAGGACTGAAGTAGAGAAGCAGGTTTAATGTCACGCGGCGTGGTCCTCCGGTGACACACGCCCCGCTCACAGAGCGCACGTATCGCTTGGAGACGCCCCGGTACCGTCCCAGTGAATGTTATTCCCAAAAGCACGGGCTATAATAATAACCTATGCATTTTAACTAATTACTGAGATTAGTGAGTAGGCTTGATAAATATATGGCAAATGTTTGGAGTTGGGTTTAGCCCTGAGTTCGCTTTTCATTCCGACGCGTCATGAAGTTTCCTAGATATGTGAGATGTGACGGTAGAATGAGAGACAAAACAAAAGGGGTGGAGTTGCACGGTCCGCACTAAGGGACATTTTTGATTGACTGGGCAAAGATTGTGGTGCAGGAGGCAGCGTAATACTACGTCCGTTTTATTTAAGATGCCTACAGTCAGTGGGAAAGACAAAACATTGACTGTGATGCGCACAGCAGCGCGCATGAAGTGAGCACTTGTCACCGCGGCCGTTTTTCGTGGCAGTTCAAAAGGTTGGACTTATCTGTTCCTTTCACGGAAATGGAAAAAATGCGTTATGAACGGACAACCCGTCGCTTTGTTTATCAACCAAATAAATAGTTATTACTGGGGGACTAGATTTGTGTCGCTTTATTTTCACTTGCCCGCTCGGGCAACTAGGCAGAGGAGAGTACTTGCCCGGACAAAAGTTTTAGTTGCCCCGGACCAGCGGACAACCGTTAATGTCGAGCCCAGAAATGGATACAGTGTTCCAGTTTAAATGCTGCAGAAAGTGAATCAGTCATTTGGTAATATCACAGAGTGTAAAACATGTGCAGGGTACCTATCTGCTTCCTGTCATACCAGCCCCCATGATCCATCCACTGTCGCAGAAGCTCAATGGGTGGTTGAGCACCATATGTTTCTAACATTGGCATGTTAAGGTCATCAATGAAGAATATGAAATACTTTCCCTTTGGAGGCCCAAACACATTTTTCCGCCTGACAGACAACACATGTGAAGTTCACATTCAATATAAGGCCCAGAGTGGACTAAAATATACAAATACAAACCTTTTAACTAGTTTATTGTCTATGTAATCTTGAGTCTGGTTCGCTGAAGTGCGAGCAGAGAACATGAGAAAGTGGGAAATGTAGTCTGATGACATGTTTTTGAGTAGTTTATCTGACAGAGTGAGGGTCTTCCCAGTTCCAGTTGGACCAATACACAGAACCTAGTAGACACAAATCAAATATCAATCCCTTATAAATCATTAAACAAAACAGTTTTAATTTAAAAAAAATAACACCTACCGGTTTCTTATTATTCAATAGCATGTCAAGCAGGAAAGTCATTCTCATTGTATCAGGGGTGGGCACAACAATGTCGGCATACTTGGTTTCTGCTGTAATGACAAAATTTGGTGAATCTTTCATCCAGCTGATCCACTGTACCTAGACAAAATGAAAAGATGAAGTTGTAACGTTGTATCCACAAATGCAACATTTTAAGAAACAACTTTACTTTGCTTT